CAACATAAATGGTGCCTGATTTCTTAGAGTCCTGCGCGCGCGCACTTCGTCGCCATCACCCTCATCAGCGCCACCGCATCACCGCCGTGATTGTCATCGACAATTTCCGTCATTGCCACCATCATCAGTCAATCACCCTCACCACCGAGACATGATCATCATCATCATCGTCATCGTCGTCACCAGCATCGGCGTCGCCATCGGCCTTGCCGTCTTCATCGTTATCATCGCCATTATCATCATTGTTGCCCCCGTTGTCGACGTCATGATGATACCGCGCCCGCCCGAGCCACCGGACCTCACTGAAATGCCCTCGCGGCAACGCGGCCACAAAGATGCGCTAACCAGTGCCACGTAGTCACCGCACTCTCGGCCGCATGGTCTTTGCCAAACAAGTTGTGGGTGGGAGGGTGACATGTTTGCACGAGCAGTGGAGTTGACAACCAAATATCTTACATTCGTAAATTCTCCTTTCTAAAAAGAGAATAGACTCTACCCCCCCCCAGCGTTATCGGCCCCCCTTTCGGGTATGTAAATCAAATGTGGTTCTGACCACATGTCCATCCTAAATATGAATTTGCACTATCCCAGGGGGGCCGGTATCGACCCCCCTGAGGTTCCCTTGTAAAAAACGATACGCGGGGACATTGTTTGTTCTAACATAAGACTTTTCACAAATTCCTTGCACAGAAATGAGACGAAGTGCACACGCGCGCGTCGTCGCGCGCGCATGCCGAAATCCTTCAAAAACCTACGGTGTCGGAAGGATTTCGCAATCGAGTTTCCAAAAAACATAAAAAAAAAAATCAGGGTTTCGCACATGATTTGCTAAGAAAGCTTACGCGCGAGCTCTTGCGAAATCTCAAGAAAACTATAGGTGGTTTACAAGATTTCCACGAAATCCTACCAAACGGGCTTCGCGCGCGCATGTCGAAATCTGTCGAACGCCCTTGCGCGTGTGCCGTCGCGAGAATCCTCTGCAAAAAGTGGGACGAAGTGCAGACGCGAACGTCGTCGCGCGCGTATGCCGAAATCCTTCAAAACCCATCGGTTTCAGAAGGATTTCAAAATCGTGTGTCCAAAAAACCTACAAAAACACAAGGCTTCGCAACACGGTGTTTCCACAAAAGCGTGCGCGCGCGCTCTTGCGTCGTCGTCGTCGTCGTTGTCGTTGTCGCCGTCCTCCCTCCTCCCGCGTCGTCGTCGTCGTCGTCGCCTACGTCGTCCTCTGTCTTTCCTCGTGTTCGTCGTCGTCGTCCTCTTTGGCGTCGTGGTCGTTTCCGTCGTCGTTGTCGCCGTGGTCGTCCTTCCTCCTCCTCCCTCGTCGTCGTCGTCGTCCGTCGTCGGCGTCTCGTCGTCGTCCCTCCTATTTCGTCGCCGTCGTCGTCGTCGTTGTCGTCGTCGTCGTCTTCCCTCCTCCCTCGTCGTTGTCGTCGTCGGCGTCGCCGTCCTTCCTCCTTCTTCGTCGTTCGCGTCGTCGCCGTCCTCCCTCCTCCCTCGTCGTTGTCGTCGTTGTCGTCGTTGTCGCCGTCGTCGTCCTCCCTCCTCCCTCGTCGTCTTTGTTGGCGACGTCGTCGTCATGTCCGTCGGCGTCGTCGTCGTCGTCTTCGTCGTCGTCGTCGTCGTCGGTGTCGGTGTCGCTGCCAAGTGCCATTTGGTATCTACAGTCACGGTCTTAAGAGGTCTTGCGACCAAGTTGCGGGTGGGAGGTTCGGATGTTTGCACGAGCAGTGGAGAGGACAGCTTCAAGACAGTCAAAGTGGATTGCACCACATAGCTTCCACCACACAGCCCGCATCACATGTTACAGCACATGGCTTGCACCACAAGGCCCATACAACATAGCTTGCACCACAACGCTGACACTTTGCACCACGTAGCGTGCGCCACACAACCAGCTCATACTACGCACCGTGCACCACACAGATCGCACATCGAGAGTGCATAACTTGTTGTTCAGCGCCTGCGCTGGCAAACCTGTGTGTCGTTGAGCTGTCCTTCAACGGACAGGAAAGGTGTTTGGGGTAGTTCTGGTCGGTTGGGTGCTGCGACTCCTCAGGCCCCCACCCCCTCCATCCTCAAAGCTCAAGTTTCTGGCTTCCCCCTCCTCGTCCACGTGTATGACGTTTATGAATGGCTCCCTGTTCCACATCCCGGTGACCATCATCATTCCACGTCTTCTCTTTGCATCATCCACCATCAGCGTAACAGACCGAGCCCGTCTTCCCCTAGCCCCTAACTCATTAGTTGACCTCGTCGTGTTCTTTGCTAGTGATACTTCGAATTGCTCCCTCGTCATTGTTCTCAGGAAGGCGGGCAAGGATAAGGAGGCAAAGGAGCACAGGGAGTGGGAGGGATGCGAAGGAGGCGTGGGGAGGAGGACGAGGACGCCGAGGGCTGAGGGAGGAGCGGTGATCACGAGGAGGGGCGGGCGGAGGAGGAGGAAGAAGAGCGCGAGGAGTGCCGAAGCGAGCCCAGACATCCGAGGGACGCCTTCCCCACATCCGCCCCCCCCCCCCCGCGGAGGCCTCCCTCCTCCTCCCCCCTCCCCCCCACGAGCAGCTCGCCGCCACGGACCCCCTCCCACTGGCTCCTGGGCCCCCCGGGAGCGCCACACGGCGGGCGCCCGGCGGCACCGCGCCGCCGCCGCGGCGCGCAGCGCCGCGGGGGGGGGGGACCTCGGAGCTCGGCCCGCCCGTGGCGAGGCGGTTTCCTCCTCCCCCTCCCTCCCCTCCTCCTCTCCTCCCCTCCTCCTCCCTCCCTCTGGCTCTTCCTCCTCCTCCTCCTCCTCCTCCTCCTCCTCCTCCTCCTCCTCCGCCTCCTCCTCCTCCTCCGCCTCCACCGCAGGGCCCGGGGGCCTCCAGATCGCCGAGGGCGGTGCGGCAGAAGTCGAGGAGGAACGCAGACAGCAAGGTCGAGGAGGAGGGAGGAGGAGGAGGAGGAGGAGGAGGAGGAGGAGGAAGAGGAGGAGGAGGAGGAGGAGGAGGAGACAATTCGACACCCCCCAGGCAAGGCGACAAGGAGCACGGAGGAAGGAGAGCAGGGAGGGGGACGGAAGAGGAAGAGGAGAGGCAGTAGGAGGGCGCACGGGGAAAGGGAGGATGAACTAGAGCAGGACCCAGGGCAGGGAGGAGGAGGCATCAGGAGGAGGAGAGGACGGGTTGGAGACCACAGTGCTTTATTCAAAACGAGACCCCAACACGGAGGGTTGGGAAATTACTTTGCGACGTACCCAATTTGCTCTACACATGTGGCGACGATACACGGGACCGATCAATACAAACGAACATGTTGAAGGACCAGACGGAGCCCGCGAAAGTGGGGACAGTTGCGCATTCCGCAGCCCTCCAGGGAGCCGCGAGGTTTCAACGCTGTGCGTTTACAAGTCCACTCAGTTGGACCTCCCAGGAGCCCACAAAAGTGGCGACAGTTGCGCAGTTCGCAATCACCCCAGGGAGCCGCGAGGTCTCGACTGGGTACGTGTACAACTCCACTCCGCTGGGCCTCACAGGAGCCCACGAAAGTGGCGACAGTTGCGCAGTTCGCAGCACCCCCCGCAGGGGAGCCGCGAGGTCCCAACGCGGTCCGCTTGCAGCTCCACTCCGCTGAGCCTCCCGGGAGCCCACGAAAGTGGCGACAAGCCCCCCAGCGGGTGACAGCGAGGTCCCTCCTCCCAGGAGCACGCAGGAGAGGCAGAGCCAACACGAGGCTGCAACGCCGGCAGGACGAGGGAGAGGAGGGAGGAGGACGAGAAGGACGAGGAGACGGGAGGCAGGAGGCAGGAGGCAGGAGGCAGGAGGGCGGGGGGGAGGAGGGAGGTCGGAGAGCACAGTGCTCCGTTCAAAACGGGAACCCCCAAAACAGGAGGAGGGCTGGAAACAGACATCAGACAGCAAAAGCAACAACTACCCCTTCCGTGACGGCCCCTCCGCCGCGCTCCAGCACGTGGGCAGGCGGCTACAGAGGGGAGCCTCGGGGTCGCGAGAACTGCCACGGAAGAAATGCGGCTCCGCACCGAGCCGCATCGGCGATGCGTCAGCGATGCGCCGCGATCCTCCGACCCCATCCGAACTCGGACCCCATCTGGGTGTCCGAGACCGTCCAAAGTTCATGTCTACGCAGCTGCTTCTTTTTTATCATTGTTGTTTCTTATGTTTGCTATTTTTATTGTATTTAATTATGTTTGTTATTATTGATATCAGTGGTATCATCATCATTATTAGTATCATTATTCGTATTCGTACCATTATTCGTATTATTAGTATTATCACTTTAATGATTCGTAATAATATGTTTTATTCCAGCATCCTCCCTCCCTCCTCTTCCTGCTCCTCCCCCCCGTCGGTAGGCCACGCCACGTCACGCAGGCCACGCCCAGTGTCGCCGCCGTCGCCGACCCCTTCCGTGACGCCCCCTTCTGCCGCGCTCCAGCGCATGGGCAGGCGGCTACAGAGAGGAGCTTCGAGGTGGAGAGGGTCGCCACGGAAGGGGCTCGCCACGTCGGTAGGCCAAGCCCGATATCGCCGTCGTCCCAGGCCCCCGACCTCATGTTTTTTTTTTTGTCACAACTTGGACCTCCAGAGGTCTGGACCCCTTCCCGAGGACCGGCTTGTCGTCCCGAGTCGTTCTCTGACGGTCCCGAGGCCCGGGAAGGGCCCCCGGAGGCCGAGAATGGCGAAGCACCTCCCGTCGTGATTTTTTAGCGCGTTGTCTTATTCATTGTTTTGCCGATCGGCTCGGGCCCTCGCCCCGCCCCCTGCCCCCTCGCCCCACCCCTTGCCCAGACCCCCCCCCTCTCTCCCCCCCCCTTCCGCCCCATGTCGACACGCCGAAAATACGAAAATGCTCCCCTTCACAACGCGAGGGAGGGGGCCTGTGGGCACGTCGCTAGGCCACGCCCGACGTCGCCGTGGTCGCCGCCCCCCCCCCCCGCGCGCAGCCAGGCCACGGCTCGGCCGCCCCCCCCACGCGCGCGCGCGGCGCAGAGGGTGGCCTCCGCCATGGGGCGCGGGTCGGCTGGCGGAGCGGCTGCGCGGAGCGCTTGGGCGGCCCGGGGGTGAGTTCTTCCGCCTCCGCCTCCGCCTCCGCCTTCGCCTCCTCCGCCTCCTCCTCCTCCTCCTCCTCCCTTCTCCTCCCAGCTCCTCCTCCTCCGCCTCCTCCTCCCAGCTCCTCCTCCAAGCTCCTCCTCCTCCTCCTCCTCCTCCTCCTCCTCCTCCTCCTCCTCCTCCTCCTCCTGCCCGTCGGCCAGCAGGGAGGACCCAGGCAGCCAGCGTCCTATACATCGGCGGTGAGGGAGGCCCAGACCCCCTCGAGGCGCGACATAATCACGACGGGAGGCTTTTTCTCTGTCTGCGAGCTCTGGGGGCCCTGACCAGGCCTCGGGACCGTCAAAAAAAAACGACCCGCGACGAAAAACCGGTCCCGGGGAAGGGGTCGAGACCTCGGGGGGTCGACGCAATGACAAAATCATGATGTCGGGGGGCTGGGGAGACGGCCGTCTCGGAAGGCGGCCGGACTTCTCAGAAGCCCTGTGATCTTCTGCGAGGCTTTCTGTCTTCCAGAGAGGCTCACAGAACTTCTGAGAAGGCCAGGGGATTTCCAAGCCTTCTAAGGAGGCCCGCCCCTTCCCGCTCCCCCCCCGAGCTCGCCGTCGGTTCAAAAAAACAAGTCTGAATGCTTTGCGGTCGGGAACTTTGGGATGGCGCGACGCGCTATCGACTTCGCGGCCCCGAGGCGTCAACGTCTCGAGCTTTCCCGAGCCTTCCCTCCCGCGGAGCGGAGCGACACGCTATGCACAAGTTCCCGACCGTAGCCGTTCTAGTCTTGAACAAATCGAGCCCAAGACACCAAGCGTCTTGAACACATCAAGGCAGGTTTTTACATGTGTTCGGCTCGAGGGTATCAAGACCCAAGACATCCAACGTCTTGAGCTAGTTGAAAATTCGGGGGCCCTCACTAGGCTCCTGGACGGTCAAGACGCGTCGGGGTGACGAGCCAGCGACATGAGTTTGTCAATCACGGCGTTGCTCTTCGATTGGGGGGGCCGTTGCTGGGGCCGGGGATTATCAGCATTGGACCCCGACGAAAAATTATCCCCGCGGAAGGTTTCGGGACCTCTGGGTCCGCGGGTTGAAGAAAGCATATCGGAGGTTTTCTGGGGCCACCGAGGGAAACCCAGACATCCAACGTTTGGAAAAAGTCAAGGCTGAGATGGTGGGCCGTCTTCTTTTTAAGGGACCTCACTGTGCCCAGGGGCCGTCAACAACGACTCAGGGTGACAAGCCAGCTCTAGATAATGGGGAGAGGCTCGGGACTTCGAGGCCCATGTCTGAGAAAACATGGCAGAGGAACTGGAGCCCCTTCGCGCCGTGAAAGCATCACGGCGGAAGATGTCTGGTCGTCCTCGGCTCCCTGGGGCCCTCACAGGGCCCCGAGGCCGTCAGAGAGCGGCTCGGGACGAGGAGCGAGTGGTGGTCCACGCGGGGTCCGAGCCCTCGTGGTGAGGGGAGGCATGGCGTCGCAGGCGTGGGGCCCTCGAGGGCACCCAACAAAAGAAGCACACCCACTTCCTCCCCGGGGGAGGGGGCGCGCGGACCCGGGCCCACGCGGGGGACGGCGTCCAGCCCAGATCCTCCCCAAGAAGGGGCGGTTCCCACAGAGCCCTCGCCCAGAGCAGAAGAGGGGAGAGGAGGGGAGAGAGGAAGGTGCGGAGGGTCTTCGTCTCCGTCGCCGGCACCGACGCTGCCGTCGTCGTCGTGACGTGTGAGGAGGTCGGCCGCTCGCCGTGCGCCACGGCGTCGTCTCCGCGGCGCGCCGCGACCGCTTCTGAGGTTCTCTGCCATGCTGCGGGGGTCGCCCCGTCCGCTGATGCGTGATCACCGCCTGCGTCGTCGACGCTCATGCTCGGAAACTGGAGCAGGTGCAGTATCAGTGGCGGGCTGTCTTCGGTCCCGGGGCTCTCTGAGGGTCGGGGACGGCGTCGGGGTGGTGTGGTGTCTACTTGCTTCCCGCTTCCTGGGGAAACAGCGAAAAATAGATACACCAGGATCCCGTATACACCAGGATCCGATTTCGTCGGGGTAAAGAGTTCGCCTCCTTACAGGTCCTCCTCGTAGTCGCCGCCGCCGCCGTCGTCTTCGCTGAAGTCCGACGTCGCGAGAAAAACACAACAACGCGAGAACTCACGACCGCAGCCCTACAGGCCCCAAGTGTCCGCGGCGCAGACGAAAACTCTTGGCGTGCATGACTGCTGCGGCAGGGTCTCAGGCGAAGTCCCCAGACATCCGAGGACATGTTTCTTTCAGCCCGAGCCCCAAGACATCCAGGCCTCGGAAAAAATAGCGAACACGCATGCCACATTCATCGGTCAACGCCTGCCCCCTCCGCCCAATGATCAAAGTTGGCGGTGGGTATGATGAGTTCCACTTCGACCGCAGTCTCCCCCGCGCGTGCCAACTTTGAGTTTGGGGGAGCGGGGGAGTGTCCACTAATTGTTTCCCCTTACCGTCTTGATCCCTTCCTTGGGGGGCAGTTTTTCGTCCTGGATCTTTCTGTTGATGCCCCACGGGCCCGAAAACGGCCCCCAGAGGCCGAGATCTGGCAAAGACGACGGACGATTTAAAGTCATATCACCGGAGATTTGGGACGCCAGGATCTCAAGGATATTCGCTGCCTTCGCCGCCGCCGCCGGCACGACGCCTACGCAGGCGGCGGCGGCAGCGCTGGCCCTCGCGGTCAGCAGGGTCGCGGGCGATGGCAGCGCGCCGGGCGAGTCCGCCATGGGGGGGTGGTTTCAATATTCCCCACTCCTCGTCTCCTCCCTTCTCCTCCTCCACCTCCTCCCTCCTCCTCCTCCTCCTCCTCCTCTTCCTCCTCCTCCTCCTCATCCTCTTCCTCCTCCTCCTCTTGAGCATTTTGTCATGCCTGTCTGAACGCAGCTCTTGCAGTGGTTGTTTCCACGATCGTGCGAAGGATCTCCCGTTGCACCCGGTTGCAGGGGCGGCGTGTCCCATACGCCTGCCCCTTTAGAGGACAGCCCGCATAGGGGCTCATAGGGGCTGAAATGCGGTCGCATCGCATCGCATCGCATCGCAGCAGTTTCGCACCCGCTGACGGAGGTGGGGGAGCCCTCACATCTGGGCGGCGCAAGAGAATCGCGACGGCCGGTCTTCTAAGTCGGCGGAGGTGTCGAGCATCGTGGGCCCCACGAAGGTCGCGGGGATCTTCCAGAGATCCCCCGCGAGACTCGTGGGTCGGCGCTGGGGCCCCAGGAGGCGCCGCTCCCCGCAGCGCCCGACACGCCAGGGGAGGGGGGCGAAGGTCGGTGGGCCGAGCGAGGGGAGGAAGTGAGCAGGAGGAGGAGGAGGAGGAGCAGGAGGAGGAGGAGGAGGAGGAGGAGGAGAAGGATTAGGAGGATTAGGAGGATTAGGAGGATTAGGAGGAGAAGGAGGAGGAGGAGGATCGAGGACTTGTAGGTTTTCGGTCTCTCTGGAGGCCGCTTCCTGGCCCCAGGACCGTCAGGAAACGGTTCGGGATGAAAAGCCGGTCCTGGGCACGGAGTCCAGATCTTTCCGAGCCCCGAAAAGGTTGGAAGGGAAGAAGGGGGCACGTGACGGGGGTCAGCGCTGATGGGGGCCAGCACAGGCTCCAGCTGGTGCGTGACTCTCTGGCGGGCATAGGTTTGGGAGGCACCAGGTGAGGGGGAGGGAGAGGGGGAGGGCCAGAAGGAGCGGGAGGAGGAGGAGGAGGACGACGAAGCAAGAGGCGCTGAGCCACGGTCCGATCCCCCTCTGGCTGGCCCAGGCTGGGTAGGCACGCGGCGCCCCCCCTCTTATTGTTGGCGCGACCGCAGACCTCGATGCAGCGGAGCAGCCACGGAAATGCGACTCGAAAGGTCGCACGGTACTCTGGAGACACGGCGCGGGCCGCGTCAGGCAAAAGCACGGCGTGAAGTGGGCCGTGGCCTCAGAAAATTGTGGGCGGCCCGCGCGCCACCCGGAGGCGGAAGGGGAGGGCCAGTGGGAGGGAGGAGGGCCGCCCTCCCCCTCCCCTCATCCCCAGAAGACTCGTCTTCACCACACGTGCTGGCGCCTCCCGAGCCGCAGCCGATCCTCGACCCGGGAAGGGCGCGATGCACAGTCTTCCGGCCTCTGGAGCCGGAAGCCTGTGCACCGTGCCGCGTTGGAGCGCGGCCCGAGCCCAGACCCCCGACGGCGTAATTTTTTTCACGCCGTCGACCCCCCGAGGTCTGGACCCCTTCCCGGTGACCGGTACCTCTCGTCCCGAGTCGTTTTGTTGACGGCCCCGAGGCCCAGAAAGGGTCTCCAGAGGCCGAAAATCGCGAAAGCCCTCCGGTCGCGTTTTTTCACAAGGGGGGGGGGTCTGGGCAGGGAGTGCAGACATGGTAAGCCCAGGAGGTCTGCAACCCTGCCGCCCCCCCCCCAAAGCTCTTGGCTGGCAATGGCCTCTGCGCGTCCCCCTTGTCCGCCCTGTCCTCCTCCTCCTCCTCCTCCTCCTCCTCCTCCTCCTCCTCCTCCTCCTCCTCCTCCTCCTCCTCCTCCTCCTCCTCCTCCTCCTCCTAGTCGCTGTTTGAGGTGCCCAAGAGTTGACCGACCGCACCTCACGTACAATCGTACACCAGCGATTCTGCGCCCACACCCGCAGGCCTCGGGGGCAGGGGGGACTGGGGGGCCCGCATGGCGAGTCCGTGCGCCTAGGCATGAGAATCTGCTACTACAACCCCCAGGAGGCAGCGAGCATCGAACGACTAGAGGACATCAGTGCCGAACTACACAGTTGGGACGTTATCCTCCCCAGTGGCACATGTAGATGGGCGGGAGCAGAAGCAGTGCAGCGACACTATCTCCCTAATCACTACGTGTTACAATTCGGTGCCCGCAAAGGGAAGTGGATCAACAAAAGCTGCGGCTTAACGATCCTCATCAGCCAGAAAATCGACGAGCGCAGCCTACGAGAGATCTACACCCCACCAACCAGCCTCCAGGGACGGGTTGCAGGAATTCGCCTCTCTACTAGCCAATACGACTACGTACTCTTTGTCTACTACTACGCCCCCACACATCTCTCGTACTACGTGCCACTAGCAGACGCTATAACTAAATGGTTGGAGCAGTGTGTCGACCGAGTAGGCAGCCGTACGACGATCGTGATGGGCGGGGATGTGAACAGCGACTTTGGTTGCCAGCGAGATACCGACGGGACCATCGTGCGAAGTAGAGGACCGACGGTAGGAGACAGGGAACCCAGAATTGAGAACTCCAACGGCACGAGCCTCAGGACCCTGTGTCAGACCAGCGACCTCAGTATTGCTACCACTTACCACATCGCTGAACCCACATTCTACGGGCATTCAGGTTACAACAGCCGTATCGACCACATCGTAGTACCCACAGGGGCCCTGGGACTCATAAAAAGGTGTGAGGTCCTCCATCGGTCAGGCAAAAGGCTCCAAAAGGTAAAAGTACGAGGACACAGGGACCACCTCCCCATCGGCCTCACCCTCCTCGCCTCTACTACCACCACCTCCTTCCCCACGCGCGCCCGCCTACAACAGGGGCTGTGCAGGGACGGCCTCATGGAATGTCTACGCAGCGGCCACAAGAGGGAGATGCTGCTCACCGAACTCGACAAGGAGGTGGAGGAGGTGGGTGGGGAGCAGTGGGAGAGAGCACTGGGAGCGGCGACGCCAGACGAGACCTGGGACCTTTTGGGAGGAGCGGCTCGATCGGCCATGCTCAGGACCTTCGGAAAAAACGGCTCACCCGACGAGATCGACCAGCTTACGAAGCGAGCCAAGCAATACCGACTCGAACTCCTTAGGCAGCGAAGAGCACTGCGACAGAGCCTCACTCCAGAACAGTGTGCCGACGACTACGACAGGGTACAAAACGAGCTGAAAGAGGTCACAGCGGCGCTGAAACAGGCTCGAGAAGATGTAGAGAAACAAAGAAGGGCGCTCCTGGTCGAACGCATATGGGAGGCCTACGAAAAACGGAACCTCGCCGAGATGCACCGACTACGTATACAAAACCAGAGGAACGGACGCGGGCCAAAGAAAAGGTACTACCGATCAGCCCGAACCCACTGGCCACGCGACTACTGGCATCAGGAGCTGGCCCACCCAGCCTTGGAAGGGTGACTAGGAGCGCGGCCCATCGATAGAAACACAGAGAGAGCAGAACACGAGGCTTTTGTCCAGGAACACATCGACCGACTGCCGATCGACCACGATTTACTTTTTCAGGTCGAGGCCGACAAGCGAGCGATGCGCAGGTACTGCCAGCGAGCCAGCAAACGACGGGCCTGGCCGCCTTGGGGCATCCCGATCGAAATGACATGGCTGATGATCGATCCCACCCTCCATCTTCAGGACCCAGCAGAGCTCAGCAGGCGCCTAGAAGAAAAGCGAGTTGCAGCTGCAGAGAAGAGGGGGGACGAAGACGAGCTTGCACACTACACGACATTGGGACGACGCAAGAAGGGGAGGGAGCTGCTCCGACGGATGGGGTGGACTGACGGTACTAGGTTGGGTCGCGTGCCGACGGCGACGGATGGGACAGAAGGAGCCGCCTGGGAGCAGCAATCCTATGCAGTGGGGAGGGGCAGGTTTGCAGGGGTAGGTGCTGACAAGATTGCAGATCACAGTAAAGGATACATGAAGTACCTTGACCAATTCCTTGCACAATGCCGAAGCTGCCAGGTCACTCCCTTGGACTGGCACCGATCGCAAGCATTCCCGGCAGAAAAACACAACAACAAAGAGGGGATACTAGGGAAGCGTATACTACACGTCTACGATTCTTTTGGAATGGCTTGGCACTCAGGCATCCACCTACGTGGCTCACCCCCATCACAGGCACCCTGGGCCCAAGGAGGCCTCCCACACCGCTGTCGTGAAAACGCCATCCTCTGCGTACAAGCGGCCCAATGGAGAGCTGCCCAAGGGGGGGGTGAGCACAATCACAACCAACTACGACGGCACCAACGCGTTCGCAGCCACCAACCGAGCCCTACTCAGAGCGGTTGCCTTCAGGCAAGCCCACGAGCACGATCAGCGCTTCGCCATGGCAGCAATTGACCACTCCACCCTGACGCTCGAAGCTGCCGACGGCACCGTCGAAGCTGAGAGCACCACAGGCGCTCAAATGGGCTCCACCCTCTGCCCGAGGCAATTCAACGATGCATACAACCTGCACGTCACAAAATGGTGGGAACAAGGCCGCGCGGACCCAGACCAAATTATCCACGACACGACTAACCCAGTCGCAGGCAACACTCACGACTTATCCCTCAACACGTTCATGGACGACATCCTTTATGTGCAGACGATCCTACCCGCATCGACGGCTGGCGATATTGAACAACAGCTCAACAACAACACCGAACGCCTTTCCCAAACAATTGCAGCAGGAGGATGGGGACTCAACAACGCCAAGACCAACCACCTAATATACCTAGTAGGGCAAGGCTGTTACGGGAAAACCAGACAACTCAGACGCAGCAAAACATTGCAGGGTCAGGCGCTGAGGGAGATGCGTGTACTTGGCCCTTACCTACCAGCTGGTCAGGGCATCACAGGCGAGGTGGTGCGGCGTATCGCAGCCATCCGCGTCGCATGGCGACAATGCGGGATCTTCTGGACCTCTAAGGTACCCCGACAGATAAAACGCATGATGTTCATGGCTTTCGTCGTAGGTGCGGCCCTCAGCGGATTGCCAGTGCTAGTTCTGACAGATACCCACACAACAGCAATCGACAGTGTACTAGGCAAGTACCTACGGACGCTAGCGGGAGGAGCCATGTCGTGGACCAGAGCGGATGGTACAGTGAGGTGCGACAACTTGCGACAGGTGTTTAGATACTGGAGACTCGAGCGCACATTCGTATCCTTACTTGTGCGACGCTTACGATGGTACCAGAACTGGTCAAGGCACCCTTGGGAGCACGGAGCAGTCATCGCAGCGGTTTTTGGGACATCCAGACTAGATGCGGCTCAGGGTATCCAGCGACTCGAAGGGCAGGGATTTGTGGGGACCTCCTCCACCCCGTGGGCACAGCAGTTTGCAGCCGACATGCAGGTGATAGCAAAAGTTGACGAGAGCATGGGATGGCATGCAGACAGGGAATCTGACCTTGCCAGATTCGAACAGGGAGGTGCGGAACAAAAAAACTGGTTGCAAACCGACCCATCAATATTGTACAGTTACGAGCGAAACTGGGACGTGCTTACGACACGAGATACGACGCTACAGGAGGAGGAGGGCAGGGAGGAGGAGACATTAAAACCCTACTGGTGCGATCATACGAGGACGGGCGAACACGACACGGAACAGAGGTGTGGCATGCGCTTTGCGACATACGCAGCACTAGCTGGGCATCGCCGAGAGTCTCACAACATCCGACCAGTGGTGGCGTCCGTAATCGTCAACAACCAGTGCCCCTGGTGCAAGAGCACATTTATTAATCGTAAGGTATGTGTCGACCATGCGACCAGGGCTGTACACGGCCACGGTATTTGCCACCAAGACAGGTCGATGTGGTCCCACCCCATCTCCGACCCCAGCTCCCTCACCTGCCAGATCTGTAACCACGAGGCTCAAACTCTCGAGGAGTATCACGCACACATCCGAGAGCACATAGCAGGGCCAGAGTCGATCAGAGCGGCACGGGGAGAGGGAGCACACGTCGCACGGGGGCCACGGCGACTGGCGCATCAGGGCCAGCACGAAGAGAGGAGGGGGCGCAGCAGAAGGGCAGCGGCCCTCACAGCGCCCACACCTCGGCGGCGGCGGAGTCGGCTCGTCAGACACGCAGCAGTCGCAGCAGACGCCCCAGCAGCCGCCCCCCACACAGCGCCGAGGAGGAGGCGGTCGAGGACCCCCAGGAGGAGGCCGTGGTGGTGGCGGCGGCGGCCAGGTGGAGCTGCGGGACCAGCTGAGATCGCTCCAGAGGCTCACCCTCCAGAACTCGAACGAGATCCGCAATTTGTTGCATCTCACGGGAGAGTTCTGGCTGACGCCGCTCGAGCCAGACTGGGTGCAGGCGCCGATGGAGACAGGCAGAGAGTACGGACGGAAGGTGAAGCAGTTGGGCAAGGGGCACGGCCTCGGCCCACCGCACGGCCAGGTAGCGGCGAGCCTGGTCGAGGAGATCGTGGCGGTGCTCGACTCAGAGGAGCAGAAGCTCGACGCGTCCCTCCTCCACGTGAGGCAGCTCCTGAAAGAGTTCATGAGCCAGCTCGACGAACCCTGGGGACCAATCTTCATCACGGAGGTCTTCTTGCAGTGCAAGATCCAGGAGGCGTACAACAAGACGGGCGAAGACGTGGAGATGGACATCAAGCAGTGCAAGGCCAAGCTCATCTACACGATCAACACGGCGCCGAGCTTCAGGGCGGTGCTGTACGACCAGAAGCTCGAGCAGGAGCAGTACGACAAGATCTCGGGCTTCAAGGGGGACATGTTCAAGCAGGCACTGGGCCACGCGCTGGCGCACCTCGGGGCCACAAAGAGCCGCTCAGGGGGCCCGAAGACGGGCCTGGAGAGGGCCGTGGAGGCGCAGCTCAACAGGAGGTGAGCCAAGGCACGCCTCAGCCTAAGCCCAGCAGCTCGCCCCGCCGCGAGCGAGAGAGCCCCGCGGGCCAGTCCCCACCAGGCCCGCAGCCCAGCGGCGCCTCCAGCTCGTTGTCGAGCAGCGCTCCCGAGTCACGCCTCAACTCCACGGGGCGCCCTCGTGCCTGGCCACCATCATCACCGCCAGTCACTCGAGAGGAAAAAATCGCACAGCAGATCAGTACAGACTTTGTTCGCATGACGAGTCTCAGGAGCCAGGCCGAACAACACGGAGGCCAGATGGCCTACCTGTATCGGATGGCTACATACTATCGGGACCTACGGCCAAGGGACTACTACCAACCTATGGCGAAAAAATGAGGGTGACGGCGGACCTTCTACTTATCCAGCCGTCACCCTTCTATTACACGGGCTCCCACCACCTACGCCCCCCCTCCCACCAACTCCTACCTCCAATTTACTATTCCTCAGGCTATCAGCTCTCGACTAGTTCCATTCGCAGTCGAATTCTTTTCCGCACGAGGCTCGTCTGTCAGATAGTATTGCGGATGCCCGCTCGGAGCCGACGTATTCGCGACTTCGTACCGGACCTCGTACAACAGAACGACAGTACATGGTACAGAGTACACACTGCGTATTACAAAGGGAACATCATACACAGGGAACTATCACACCACAACATTCAGCACAGCCATGCGATTGTGATCCGACCACGGTTCGACCTCCCTTCCTCCGCTCAGCCACATCCAGCCTTAGTCCGCCTTAGTCATCATAGCTGCTACCTCCCTCGACCCTCTGCGGATAGAGAGTGAGGAAGAATTGCGCACTAAGGACAGGCCCAGGATTCCGACTCCAGCGAACGACCGAGCCTACGCCTACTCCTACACCAAGGCCCCCACTACGGTTCCTTACTGCCCCAACTCCTGGGAACTAAGGAAACTACTACATTACCTAAGGTGAACAACAGTAGGCGGGGTCAACTAAGGTAAACGAGGCCCAGTACACAGTCCGACATACTACCAGCGGACACTTACGACTCGAGCATTCTCGCGACATCCAGGGCTTGCTTTCCCCGCGGACGCACGACCAGGGCAGCGATGGCGGCGCAGGCGAACATGGCGGAGCAGAAGGGGGCGACGGAGCAGCAGCCAGCTGCAGATGAGGCCGAGCTCAACCCGCAGCCCACGATAGCGCAGAAGCCGCATGACAGGGGGGGCTTGGGAGTGGCTGACCAGGTCACGGGCACGGCGGCGCACAGGCTGGAGATCGCGCACAACACACTCCAGAGCACGCCCGACGCGTTCAAGGAGGCGACCAAGCACAGCGAGATGGCACTCCACGCCCTCCACAAGCAGAGGGAGAAGGTGGTGACCACGCTTGGGCGCATGAACGGCAGGAGCCTCGACCCACATGAAGAGGCAGAACGCAGCCTAGCAAAGCACTACCTCAAGGAGCAGCTGCGCGACATCCACAACGCCATCAGCGCGGTGAGGAGCGCAATCGGCATCACGGACGAAGCTCGGCAAGATGGTGCACGGGCCGATGCCGTGGGAGCTCGACTACACGAGGCGCCAGGTTGACGAGATCGACCACATCTACACCCGCTGGACCAAAGGCCCGCACGGCTACGCCTACGATGAGGCCTCCTTCGACACCCAGAGTGCGACGGCAGCGAAGGCGGAGACGGAGAAGCAGGATCTCCTCCAGCCCGCGCGCAGGCCGCCATGCCCAAGTCCGAGCAAGAGCGTGCAGGGCTGGGAGAACCGCGGTGTGGTGTTGTGCGGTGAGGCCAGCGCCCCAGCCGCCGCTACTATGGCCGACACTGGCGCTGCGCAGAGCAGGGATGTGAGGCTCTCGTCGCCAAGGGCAGCAGCAGCGGCAGGCTGGGGCATCGGGGAGTAGAGAGCTGAGAGCTTGTCCTATCGCATCAGGCCTTGTTCTCCCCTTTTTTTTTCCTCCCTCACTCCCTCAGCGGGAGCATCACAGGCTCGGCAGCACAGCACTCAGCGCGTGGGCCAATGCGGCCATGCAAATCCATATCAGCCGAGACAGGTGCAGGGTAGGGGGATGCACAAGGCCGCCCTTCTCTCTTTTTTTGTCTCTCTTTCTTGCCGCCTGGAGGGAGTGGTGAGGGGAGGTGGGGGCGTGAGGGAGCGAGGGTGGGTGGGCTCTCAGCGGCGGGGGGTGCGCCCAAAGAGAGGCAGCTCCCCTCCGCCTGCAGCAGTACAAAAGCCTAGCCGAGGCAGGGTCCCCCTGCTAGCGAGGCTCGGGGACCACGCCTCAAGAGAGGCGGGCCCCGTCGCCTCAGGCGGCCCCCCCAAAGCAAACGGGTGGGCTCGCATCCATTTTTTTCCCAGGGGTCGGCATGCCTGTCGGTAGGCGAAGTTGACAGACCCCCAAGGGCCTTATCCTTATCCTTATCCTTATCCTCCTCCTCCTCCTCCTCCTCCTCCTCCTCCTCCTCCTGCTCCTGCTCCTGCTCCGTCTCCTCCTCCCCTTCCTCCCCCTCCTCGAAGACGGCGACGGCGGCGGCGGCGGAATACTCGATTGCCGATTCTTGCTGGGTGTCGGCAGCCCCGAATATAGCTCCCGAAAGATGACTAGTTGCCTATTATTGGAGGGGTGGTATTGATTGGAGGGGTGGTTTAGTAAAGACCTCAGACCCCCTTACGTCGTGATGGTGCTCGCAACGTCGACCCCCAGAGGTCTGGACCCCTTCCTCGGGACCAGTTTTTCATCCCGAGTCGTTGTTTGACAGTCCCGAGGCCCGGGAAGGGCCCCCAGAGGCCGAGAATAGCGAAAACCCTCCCGCCGTGAGGAGGAGGAGGAGGAGGAGGGAGGAGGAGGAGGAGGAAGGAGGAGGAGGAGAGGAGGAGGAGGAGGAGGAGGAGGAGGAAGAAGAGGAGGAGGAGGGAGGAGGAGGAGGAGGAGGAGGAGGAGGAGGCCTTCGTCTCGCTGTCGGGGGGGCCGGTCGCCGATACGCCTCCGCGCGGGCCATCCTGCGCCCGGCGGGTCTCCGCGCGACGGGGGCCTTTTGCGCACGCAGCCGCGCGCGCCGCGCGCGAGGTCCCCCGGCAGCCTGGCCGCCGAGATCGCGGAGGACATGAGGCCCAAGCCCACCAGGGTTGACGAGGGGGGTGCCCAGACCTCCTCGCGCTGCGAGAAAGAAAGTCGCGACGCGAGGCTGTGTGCCATTCTCGGCCTCCGGGGGGCCCTTCCCCGGGCCTCGGGGCCGTCGACAGAGCGATTCGGGGCGAAAAGCCAGTCCCCGGGAAGGGGTCCAGACCTTTGGGGGTCGACGCGATGAAAAAGATTACGCCGTCGGGGGTCTGGGGAGGGGGGGAGGGAACCGGCGGGCTACGAAGTCTGCTGAATCCTCTGAGAGCGTTCCTAAACGCTGTGAGAAGCCCGCGGCGCCCAAGACATCCTCCAGAGCCGCTGAATCTCAGAAGCTCTCGATTTATCCTCACCCGATTGTGTCCTCGTTCTGGCGTCGTTAGCGGGCGAAAAACGGTATAACATAAACTGTTCCGCCGTCGGGGACGCCTGCCCCCCGGGCGGCTGCACAGTTGATACCCCTACGGTGCCACGTGGAAGTAAAAACTCTCCAGCCGCCCGGGCGGCAGGCGTCCCCGACGGCGGGAAAGTCAGATCGAGGACGCAGGTCGCTGACCCCGCGGAGGGGGTCGGGAGCTCTTCGGGCGCGAATGAATGGGGGGGCGATAAGTGGGGGGGGGGTAGAGGTGTCTTTCTCGAGCCCTGAAGGCCCTTGGGGAGTGGGTCGGGAGCTCTGATCGGAGGACGCGCATGGGGGGGGGGGGGGGGGGCGATCGATGCGGGGGCAGCGAGGGCTGCCGAAGATGGCCCCCGTCGGGGCCCCTGAACAGGGCCCCGAAATATAGGTCCTTTCGGGCCCAAAAGTAGATCTTGATGACCCGAAGAGGGCACCTTCCCCCCATTTGTCGCCCCCGCCCATTGATTCGCGCCCAACCTCGGGGTGAAAAATATGAGCTCAAGGGACGGGGGTCAATGCAAACGGGGGTCAGCCGGGGCGGCGGATCTTGCAGGATGGACCCCTTCCAGGGGACCGGCTTTTCGGCCCGAGTCGTTTGTCGACGGCCCCGAGGCCCGGGAAGGGCCCCCGGGAGGCCGAAAACTGGGAAAAGCCTCCGGTCGCAATTTTTTCACAGCGCGAGGCGGCTTGGGAACAAGCCAGACCTCCTCGCGCAGCGACGGAAGGCCCTGGGCAGCCCTGGGCCTCCAGGGGGGCCCCCTTGCCAGGCGCCGCGCGCGCCGGGGAAGGGCTCGGGCCGAGGGGGCCCAGGCTTCTGGGTGTCCGCGTCGTGGTCAAGCGCGGCGTGGGAGCTCTGGGGAGCACACGGGGTTGGCGCAGACGCCCTCGAGTGATGAAAAAAATCATGGCGGAAAGTTTTTCGCCATTTTCGGCCTCTGAGAGCCATTGCCGGGCCTCGGGACCATCAAAAAACGACTCGGGATGAGACACGGGTCCCGGAGAATAGGTCGAGACCTCGGGAGGTCGACGTAATGAAAAAAACATGATGACGTCGGGGGTCTGGGGGCGTCGCTCGGACGTGTGCACTTTTTTTCCGGCGTGAACCACCGAGGAGCATGATCCTGGGCCACCTTGCGCCAGAAATAGCCACGCACGAAGCCGCAAAGTGCACTGGGAATGGTCTTCCGAGCGATGGCAAGAACCCAGACCCCCGACGTTCTGATTTTTTCGTTACGTCGACCCCCCGAGGTCTCGACCTATTCCCCGGGACCGGGTTTTCATCCCGAGTCGTTGTTTGACGGTCCTGAGGCTTGGTAAGGGCTCTCAGAGGCCGAAACTTGCAAAAAACCTCCCGTCGTGTTTTTTTCATTACTCGAGGGGGTCTGGGAATGGAGGGGGGGGAGTTGGTTCCTCGTCCTTCTCCTCCTGATCTCCTCCTCCTCCTTCTCCTCCTGCTTCTCTGAGGGGGAGGGGCCCACAGCGGGGCGTCGAGGAGGGGAGGGAGGAGGAGAGGAGGAAGGGGTCGCGGGGGAGGAAGACGGGGGGGGGGGAGGAGAGGGAGGGGGAGGGGGAGAGGAAGAAGGGGGAGGGGGAGAGGAAGAAGGGGAGAGGAAGAAGGAGGAGGGGGAGAGGAAGTAGGGGAAGAGGGGAGGGAGGGGGAGGGGAAAAAAGGGGAGGGGCGAGGGAACGCACCAGGAGGTTGGTGGGCACGGAGTGTTCGTGTGTGGGGGGAAGGGCGGAGGAGGTGGTCGGAGGAGCAAGAAGTCATCATTATGATGCATTCCAAGGTGTCCAGGCTTTACGATTGGTCCGCCCGCCCTCCCAGAGAAGGAGGGCAGCTGAATACTCCAGAACTCCTGGGACGCATCGTGAGCCATCTCGGAGGGCTGAGGGGTAGGCCAGGTAATGGATTCTGGGGGGGGAGGTGGGTCGCCAGAAATGGAGTGAACCCAGAGGGAGGAGTGGAAGCCGCGGGGGGGGAGCCCAGGGAATGCACTCGGGGGTGGAATTCCAGAGCGAGGTGTGCAGGTGTGGACGTCATGGATGTAGAGGTCGAGATGGAGGTCGAAGCAGAGGTTGAGGTTAAAAAAAGGGTGTATGTAATATGTATGGTCATAGACCCGTGCCAAGAGTGTGCAGTAAGGAGTAAGGAGAGATCGAGAGGGTAGACTAACTATACATGAAAAGACACATACACATTTAAGCACGTCCTGAAACAGGTAACTAGAAAGACCGGCACCGCAACATGCAGAGAAAGAGAGAGAGAGAGAGAAGTGTATCGATCTATGACGAGATGATTTTGCCTGAGTGGGGAGATGAATGGACGCACAGAATGTACATGGGGAGAGGGGTATTGAGGTGCGGATGTGATTCGATTGGCCCGGAAAGCACGCGCATTGGGGCCATTTACTTTGGAGGCCCGAGCGGCCCTGGGCGAGGCCGTCTTATTGTCCCCCCGAGGCCGACGTCTTGATCTTGCAAGGTGTGGGGCTGCGCAGCTCCCTACACCCCACCCTCTGCACGAATTTCGCCGCGGACTGGGGCTGCTCCCTGCTGACCTCAGGGCCAGTAGGGACCTCCAGAGGCCGGGCTGCAAAAGAATACGTCCGCCCTGATCCCCTCAGGGCACGGGCCCTCCAACCCCCCCACCCCAGACCCCCGGCATCCGACGTCGTGCAAAGACCGCGACGTCGAGCAAACGTGAGGAGGGCCCCCTCCGAAACGGGGCACCGAGGCCCCGACAGACCGATCCTGCTCGTCGTGGTTCTTCCCACGACACCCGCGCGTGCGTGAGGGTCCCTGGGCATCCGAGGGATGGCAGTCCGCGGGCCCCAGATCCCCGTCTCCTCCTCCTCCTCCTCCTCCCCTCCTCCTCCTCCTCCTCCTCCTCCTCCTCCTCCTCCTCCTCCTCCTCCTCCTCCTCCTCCTCCTCTGCTGACCAGGATGCCCGACCACGGCCCCCGGGAGGGGGACACGCCGGGATCGAGAGAAGCAGCCCGCTCGTAGTCTGGGAGGCTCCCCGCTCCCCGCGCCCCCCGTCGTCGTCGTCGGCGTCGCCGTGGTCGCCGTCCTCGTCGAAGGCCACCGCCGCCGTCGCCGAGCGGCGTCGTGCGTTGTGGTCGTCGTCGGCGTCGCCGTCGCCTAGCGTCGTCGCCGAGCGGCGTCGAGCGTCGTCGTCGAGCAGTCGTCGCCGAGCCCTGCCCGCGGAGGCGCTACGCGAGGCTGCACCCGCGCAGCACCGGGGCCCCGCCGTGTCCCCACGGAGGGTCCTGCGGCCACGCGGAGGACCCGCGCCGCTGGC